GAAGAATGTGGCAAAACTGGAACCCTTGTGTATTGCTTGTAGAAATGTGTAAAGGCGCAGCTGCTGTGGAAGGTGGTATGGCAGTTCCTCAAAACTTTAAACACAGAATTATCATCATATGATCCAGCAATTACACTTCCGGATATATACCCCAAAGAATTTAAAGCAGGACTCCAACAGATACCTGTACACTCATGTTTGTAGTAGAATTATTCACAACAGCCAAAAGGTGGAAACAACGTCAATGTCCATGAAAAGATGAATAGATAAACAAAATGTGGTATATAATACACATGTGATGTTTTTCAGCCTTAAAAAGGAAGAAGATTCGCATACAGTCAACAAAATGGATGAATCTTGGAAACATGACATTAAGTTAAATAAGCCAGACACTAAAGGACAAACATTATATGATATTTGTACATTCATTTATAGGTACATAAAACAGTCAAGTTCACAGAGGAAAAAAAGTAGAACGGTAGTTACCAGGGGCTGAGGGGAGAAGGACATGGAGAGTTAATGTTTAATGGAATGGAATTTCAGTTTGGGATAATGGAAAAGTTCTGGAGATGGATAGTGGTGATGGTTGCATAACAATGTGAATGTACTTAATGCTACTGAATTGTACAGTCAAAAAAGGTTAAAATGGAAAATTTTATGGTATGTATATTTTACCACAATTGAAAAAATAAAAAAGCCACAGGAGTACTGATGTGGCTGGAGCACAGTGAGCAACGAAAGAATGGTAGGGAACAAGCAGGAGAGGCAATGAGGGCCCCAAGGGCCAGGGGGGGCCTTCAGGCTTCATTCTAGGACTAGTAAGAAGCCTCTGGGGAGCTGGGAGCAGAGATAACACAACCTGATTTACAGTCTAAAGGCTCATTCTTGCTGCTGTATGAACCCAAGAACAGAACTAGGAAAAGAAGGCCCTTGCAGTCACCCAAGTAATTCCTGAGGTTAATTCAGAATCTCTTCAGGGTTTGCAAGTGGCATTAATCCAGGATCCACTCTTCATCTTGGCAGGCTCTGGGACCCTGCCCGGTCCCATAAGTGCGTGCACACGCACAGGCACGTGCACATCAGCACATAAGAACCTAGGCCTTACTGCCTCAGATCTTAGCAGGAGACTGAATTCCCAGGGTTGGGGATGGGGTGGGGGATCATCACCTCTCCAGGAGCACTTACACACCAAAGCCAGGTCCTCAACTCAAGGCTTGCCTACAAAAAAAAAAATATATACTTTGCCCCACCTGTCTCCTCTAGGGCTAGATGGGGAACAAAAATGTCTACCTTTGGGACTTGCTGACTTTCTAAATTCCCATGATACATGTTCACCTTTGTTTTTATTTTGTTTTGTTTTGGTTGTTTAGTTGTTTTTATTATAAAATATATATAACATAAAATATACACTAACATAAGTTACCATTTTAACCATTTAAGTGTACAGTTCTGTGACATTAAGTACATTTGCATTATTGTGCAGTCATTACCGGTATCAGTTTCCAGAACTTGTTTGTTTCATCCTGTAACACTGAAACTCTACCAGTTAAACACTAACTCCCTATTCCACCCTCTTGCCCCGGAAAACCACCATTCTACTTTGTCTCTATGAATCCGACTACACCTAGGAAACTTGTACAAGAGGAATCGTACAATATTTGTCCTTTTGTGACAAGCTTATTTCGCTCAAAAACATGTCTTCAAGTTTCATCCATATTGTAGCATGCGTCAGAAACTCTTTCCTTTTAAGGCTGAATAACATTCCATTGTATGTATATACCACATTTTGTTTATCCATTCATCTGTCAATGGCCACTTGGGTTGCTCCCAGTTTTTGGCTATTGTAAATAATGCTACTATGAACATGGGTGTGCAATTATCTGTTTAAGTCCCTACTTCTACTTCTTTTGAGTGTATATCCAGAAGTAAAATTGCTAGATCATATGATAATTCTATGTTTAATTTTTTGAGGAATTTATTGAGAGCTTACTCATGCCAGTCAGCAGGGAAGAGGCTGCTACAGAAGTGAATGGACCAGACCTGCTCCTCAGAGCTAAGAGTACAGAGGGGAGTAAGGTATGAGACGAATAATCACACAAACAAATACATACTTGCAAACTGAAATAAGTTCTGGAAAGGAGAACTTGCTGCTATGAAAGAATAGTAGGCAAGGCCTCTTCGAGGAAGTGCCATTTAAGCTCAGTTCTGAAGGAAAAGGAAAAATAACCCAGGTTAACAGAAGGGGAGGAAGAGCATTCTTGGCAGAGGGGAAAGCATGTATGAAGAGGTAAGAAATTCTATTAAGCATTTTGTTGAAAGGGCAATAGGGTGTTAAAGGAGCACCAAGATTATTCCATTCTCTGTGAGAAGAAATGATTGGAGGAGTACGACAGAGTGTAAAAGAAAAGACTGAAAACAGGCGAACAAGTTGGCAGGAGATGCTAATTGTTCAGATGGAAGTTGATGGAGGCATGGGTAGGAGTGGTGGCGGTGGAGACGGAGATAAGTGAACAAGTCTGAGGATTATTTGGTAGACTGACTTATCAGGACCCAGTGATGGGCTAGGTAGCAAGAGTGAGAGAATGGGGGTATTAAGAAAGACTCCAGGTTCCTAGCTCGAGTGGATGGATGGTGGTACCATTTACTGAGATGAAGGGGTAAGATTTAGGCGATGGATGCAGTAAGATTTAGATGCCTGTGAAGTGTCCAAATGGAGAGATCATACAAGTGGATGGATCTACTGATTTGAGATTCAGAGAAGTGGTCTGAATGAAAGTTAAATTTGGTGTTGGTGTTCACCACTACCATTGAGCTGTATGTTGCTGGACAGCCAGAGTGACGATGTGAAAAGAGTACCAACCTGAACTGGGCATCAGGGTATGTGGGTTCTAGTCCCAATTTTGTCACTAATCACCCTCTCTGAGCTTCAGTTTCCCCATCAGTAACCCAGAAGGTTGGCCTAAATCAGGGCTCCTTTAACTTTTTGTGGATAAGAATTATTTCCTCTCCTCCAAAATAAATACATAAAATGTTACATACAATTTCAGAGGTTTATTCAGTTCTTGGCACCCTTCTTTGGACCCCAAATTAAGAACCCTATTCTATATGACCAGATAACCACAGTTTAGGAGGCCATTGTGTATACTTTAAATATACTGTTTGTTCTCCAGGTTCCCCTAGAAACTGTGACAGGTACTGCACCAAGGAGAGAGGACCCCAGACCCAAGGTCTCCCTTGCTCCCTACCTAAAAGTACCCTTACCATGAAACTAACCAGTGTACCCAAAGGCCCTAACCTACTTTTCAAGATTTATCTTCTTTTATCCTTTCTTCCTAGCTTGTGCTCCAGACAAATTGGACTATGCACACTCTCCTCTTTCTCAGAATACCCTTCCTCCATCTCCACACACCAAACTCTACCCATTATTCAAGGCTTCAAATGCCTTCTCTATTTCCCCCACCTCTTTTCTGAAACTAGATGCAATCTCAGCCTACTCAGAACATCCACAGAACTTCGTTTGAATCCCTCTTAAGGAACGTATAACATTCTCCCTTGTATTATAGTTGTGTGTCCTCTACTAAAAAGTAGGAGCAGCACCTGTTATCCTTTATAAACAGCTTTCTCACAGATCCCTTATGTCATCTGAGTGAAAACTGGATCCCAACCTTACTGCTCTGCTTAGACCTTGGTCTCTTGCCTAAACAACAGCCTTATCTGATCCCCTAGTGACACCTCCTCTAGCCACCCTGCTCATATTCTTTCTGCACACTGATATTGAACATTTTCTTTAAAGCCTGATTATGTCACTTCTCTGATTAATATATACATCAATGGCTTGCAATCGCCTTCCTCAGTTCTCAACTTCAAAGACTGGCTGGATCTGGTGTGAAATGTCCAAAGTAATTTCTCACTATTAATGAAGTACTAATTTAACAATTTACAAATGCAGAACACTTAGAATAGTGCCCAGCACACAGTAAGCATAATATAGGTCTTAGGTATTATTAATACTGAAATTTTAAGACTTCTAAGACAGGTGTAGCAGATGCTTTTGATGCTCTGTACACATCCCCATTCTGATTTCAGCTAGAGCTTCAGGGAACAGTTCTGTGCAGGCTGACAGCATCCCTCCTCAAGGGATCTTTGGGTCTCCCTGCTTTTCTGCCCCAGAGCTTCCTTTTCTCATAAGCTCACTAGGCCCACGAGCAGAGGAGCCTGGAAGTACAGGGGCATTTGTAGGCATTAATTTCCATCTGATGAATATCTGTCTCCCCTTCCTACATTGCTATAACTACCATCATAATCCAGAGGAAAATAACAGAAATCTTAATTACAGCTTGGTCATTGTCCCACTTCCTGGCACATTTATCAACACCTTCCTGTGGAACTACAAGCCATCTGCCTTTACCCTTCTGATCCTCCTGCTTTTGGCCCACTCGCACATGTTGAGAGGACAGCACCTGAGCATCTGCTACTTGAAGAGTCAATGGATTGGAGTGTAAAAGGAAACAAAGACGGCAGTCATAGGCCACACTGCCAAGGAGAGGATGAGAAGTGAATGGAGGAGCCTTGAGACCTAGTCTTTCCTCCGCCCTAGGTTCTACGCAGAGTTAAACTGGTCTGAGGGAGAGAATGAGTGAATCACCTCCAAGCACAAATAACCAGAATCAGGCTGACACTGCGCAGGCGCAGGCGCAGGAAGGAGGCAGGGGTTGCCTCCCAGGCTCCCCCCGCGGCGTCTCCTAAACAAGGGCGACGGGGAGAGCACAATACCGTACCCCGCGCGAGGAGCCTCCCTCCTGTGCTCCCCTCTTCCTCGTGTGGCTCTGAGACCATTCAGGAAAGGTCTGAGAGCCACCTTCTGAGGCTGTCGGGGCGCCCCGCGTTCCCGGCCCACGGCCCGACGGAACCTGGAAAGAGGGTGGTACCAGCTTCCGGCGAGGCGCCAAGACGGGAATGGGCCGCCAGGTCGCTCCGGCCTTCCTCACCCTCGTTCTCACCTCTTTGTCAGCCGCGTTCTCCTCAATACCTAGCAGCGCGTACAGGTCCATCTGTAAGAGTTCCTTGGTCACCGCCATGGTTCCAACTCTGACTGGATTAGTACTACGACTCCCAAGAGCCTAAGCGTGTGGGGACTGTCAGCCCCAAGCCAGCTAAACGGTGCTTAGCCCCCTGGGAAGTGTCGTGATCTGGGCCAGGCTTGACTGCCTCTGAGGGAAGCGGCAGTCGTGAGTGAACTACGACTCCCAGCAGCCCTCGCGCCCGCCGCGGCTGCTCTCTGACTGGGGGGACTGTCGTGATTCCCTGTAGGAAGCCTTGGCTCCCGCGCACGGGTGGGCGTGGGGGGCAGGGGCGGGGCTGCGTGGAAGTCCAAGGGTCTCTGGACCTGACCCGCAAGATCTCAATTCTGTTTACTGTGCTGCGCCGCGCCGGGAACTAGGATGGATAGTAGGTGCTACGGCTGCGCTGTCAAGTTCACTCTCTTCAAGAAGGAGGCGAGTCTTCTCTCCCCGGGAGGCTAGAGGGCCAGGGAGGATGCGGAGTAGAGGGAAATTCATAGGACTTGCAGTCCGTAGACTTGGTTTTACAGTCCCTCTCCAGCTGCGTGGTTTTGATGAAGTCACTGGGCCTCAGTTTCCGTTTCTGTAAAATGAGGCTAACACTCTCTCGCTTTTGGAGTTGGTGTGAGGGTCCAGTGGGGTGCTGGTGGTGAGAGTTCCCTGTAAATCGTAAATCGGGCTCCTGTCATTTTGAAATGTTAGGCTTTTCTGTCCATCAAGTGAAGGATTCTGCTGTTTCCTTCCCTCCACCCTGTTTCTCCGCAGCCCGGTCTTAGTTAATACTCTGTGACCACATGACACCATGCCCGTTACTCTGCTCTGACACCTTCACTGTCAAGCAGCCTCCCCTTCCTCGGTTGCCCTCAGGGCATCATAGCAAAGTCTTACTTGCCCTCAGCACAGACATGCCAAGTTCCCCTGGTAACCTGCAGGCTTCCTCTGCCTTAGTTGTGACCAGGAGATAGGAACCAGACAGGATGAATGAATAGCAAATAGGGAAGCAGATCCGAGTAGCACTCAGAAACCTGGGTTTTGGAATCAAAGTGGTCAGGATTCAAATTGCAGTTTTGCTGTCTTATTCTTGGGGTGACCTTGGTTTTGGCAAGTCATATAACCTCTCTTGATCCCATCTAAAATAGGAATAATAATGGTGGTCGCCAAGATTAAGTAAGATAGTGTTTATAAACTGTGAGGATTAAATCAGGTTATGAAAATTAAGGACTGAGTTTAGTGCCAGACACACAGTAAATGCTTAATAAATGGAGGCTATTGTTACCATCCCACCATGATTCAAGCCTTCCTCATCTCTGCTAGAGCAGAGAAGGCAGGGGCTTTGCACTCTCTCTGATTCTTTAACAAAGAAGAATCAGAGACCTGAAGCTTGGGGCTTTGCCTGTTTGTCTTCTACACCCCAGTGTAAGCGAACTGATAGCTTTGACTTCTACCTCGTCTCTTCCCAGGACTTAGGGGACCCCCTCCTCATCCTCATCCCAGCAGCTGTTCACAACTTCAGTGTTCTCTCTGTGTGTGCTCAGAGAGTCTGAGGGAGGAGCCTGCAGGGGTGGGTGAGAGGTGGACTCCCTGCTTCATGTTTCTTGTAGTATGGCTGTAAGAACTGTGGCCGGGCCTTCTGTTCTGGCTGCCTTAGCTTCAGTGCAGCAGTGCCCCGGGCTGGAAACACCCAACAGAAAGTCTGCAAGCAGTGCTACGAGATCCTGACCAGGTGAGAAGCTGACACAGGTGAGGGTTCAGTCAAGCATGGCAGCAGGCAGCTGGCCAGGCCTTGCAGCCTTGGGTCTTTGTCTAGAGGTCAGCCCAGGGAGTGTTTTGGGGTGCAGGGCACTGATAGGCAGATGGAAGGTAACTTCTGATACCGGATTTCTTCTCTATAGAGGATCTTCTCCTGCCAATGCCTCCAAGTGGTCACCACCTCAGAACTATAAGAAGTAAGTGCTGACGGGACAGACAAATGGGGATTGGGGAAAGGACAGGGGAGCCATAGGGTAGAACTATCTTCCTAGCCTCCTGACCAAATGAGCAGAGGATCAGGAGAATATCTACCTCTTGGCACCTGACTGCCCTCTTGAGCTCAGAAAACAGCTCATCAGCCCTCTCCCCAGAAAAGGTTCTTGGTAGACCTTGCCTTCTCAGCTGCAGGGTGACATGAGTGAGGGCTGCAGAAGATTGCCAGTTGGAGGCCTTCCTAGCTGACTAGAGATGAATCCAATGGGAAACAGTGAGTGGGTGACTTCACCCCTCCCTTCTGCATTCTTCAAGAGCCTCTATCTCATATCCTGCCAGGCGTGTGGCAGCCTTAGAAGCCAAGCAGAAGCCCAGCGCTCCCCAGAGCCATGGACTGACCCAACAAGACCAAGTCATCGCTGAGCGCCTAGCACGGCTCCGCCAGGAGAACAAACCCAGTGAGTGGGGCAGACAGGGTGGAAAAGACACCACCCCAGGCTCCTGGGACTAGGAGTCCTCTGGACTTTACAAGGCTTCCCTATGCCAATTGTAGAGTCAGTGCCCTCGCAGACGGAGATAGAAGCCAGGCTAGCTGCACTGAGGGATGAACCCCAGGGTTCCATCCCTTCCACCCAGGAGATGGAGGCACGGCTTGCTGCCCTGCAGGGCAGAATTCCACCTTCTCAGATCCCCCAGCTGGTGAGTGCTGTGGCTTTGGAGGGATGGAGGTCTTGGGACGAGGACCCAGCAGAAGCCCAGATACATGTATGCCTGTGTACTTCACAGGAGTACTTCCTGCTCCACCTACCTGCTGCCAGGCCAAGGAACCAGGGACAAGCAGCAGGACTGGGTGGGGCAGTAGAGTGGCCCCTTGGTTCTTTTGGGGACTGCCAGACCTACTTGATTACGTGGGCTCTGAATTAGGCCCATTTCCCTGAGTTTTGGGAATGCCTCAGCATCCACCCCTGACCTAAACTGCTCTGGGCATTATGGTGTGGCTTCCCTGCTCCCCTGTTCCCTTGCTCCCCACTGAAGTTTCCTCCTCTGAACAGGCACATCAGCCACCAGACACCAGGACCCAGGCCCAGCAGACACAGGATCTGCTGACACAGCTAACAGCGGAGGTGGCTATTGATGAGAGCTGGGAACGAGGAGGCCCAGGTATCTTCTTTGCCTGGCTCCCCCAGAGACCTGACCCCTCTTTTCCCAGGTGGGAAAGGCTCTGCTGCCCACCCTTTGGGATGTGAATATAAATCAGGGAATAATCAACATTATAAGGGCTACTGTTTATTGTTTACTCCATTGGGAGCCAGTGTAAGCCTAGTGGATAAGTGTGTGGGCTTTAGACCCAGACAGTGATTCTCTGTTCTATCACTTAGTAGCCATGTGACCCTCCACAAGTTACTTGATCTAAGTCTCACTTTCCTCATCTGTAAAATGGAGGTATGTGTGGTAAAACCCACCTCATGGGGAAGTCATGAGTAAATTAGATAATCCAGTAAATGCTTAGGACCCTGCCTGGCTCATAGTAAGTGCTCAGTGAAGGTTCTCTGCAATGATGGGGAGGAGAAGGAAGAGGCTACTTAAATTTAATTAAAATCAAGTAAAATTTAAAATTTAGTTCCTCAGTGGTATCAGCCACATTTCAAGTGCTCAAAAGCCACAAGTGGCTCATGGCTACTCTCCTGGACAGCACAAATGTAGACCATGATACAGAACGTTCCCATCACCATGAAACATTCTCCCAGACAGTGCTGTTCAAAAGCTTCAAAGCAGTAATTCTCAGCCATGGATGATTTTCCTTCCAGGGCCCATTTGGCGATGTCTGGAGACTTTTAGGGTGTCATAACCCAGAGGGTATCACTGGCATCTAGTGAACAGAGGCTAGGGATGCTGCTAAACATCATACAATGCACAGGACAGCCTCCTCCACAAAAAATTATAGGCACACATCAGAGATATTGCAGGGTTGGTTCAAGACTACTGCAATAAAGTGAGTCACACAAATGTTTTGGTTTTCTGGTACATATAAAAATTATGTACACTGTACTGTAGTCGATTGTGTGCAATAGCATTATGTTTAAAAAACAATGTACATAGTTTAAAAATGTTTTATTGCTAAAAAATGCTAACAGTCATCTGACAACACAGGGTTGCCACAAACCTTCAATTTAAAAAAAAGAGCAGTATCTGTGAAGTGTAATAAAAATGCAGCTCAATAAAACAGGGTATGCCTGTATCCTGTCCAAAATGTCAGTAGGACCAAGATTAAGAAATGCTGCTTTAGAGATACAATCTCATTGAATATCCTCAGTAATCCTACAAGGTATATACTATTACTATCCATCTTTTACAAATGAGGAAACTGAGGCCTGGTGAGCTTAAGGAAATTGACTAAAGTCATACAGCTATTAAGTGGCAAAGCTGGGACTTGATCCCAGACTGTCTGATTTCAAACCTCTTGCTCTGAAACTCTGAGCTAAAGGGAACCATGTCAGAGCCACACCCACTGTGGTAAAATTCTTCCCGCCTAGTAACATAGAAGACCTCAGCTTCCCTCATGTCATCTCTGTGCTACTCCCTGGAAATGCTGATTCCAGCCTGTAAGGCAGAGACACTGGCTAGACCTCAGCCTCCCCATATCCTGATCCTTTCGGGTGGTGATTCTCGTACCATGGGGCACTCACCCTAATGGCAGCATGTTAAAATACCAGGTGGGTGGGGATGGATGTAATTGGAAAAAAAAAAAACATGTCTAAGATAACTAGTTTTTTACATTTGGAAAACTTGAAGAAAATGCTCATTTGTAATATAAACCACAGGACCTAGTGCTGAACAAAAAGCTGATAATCTATGGTATTTTTTAAAAGTTGAGAAATGGGCTCAGTGGTTTCTGATGAGAGATTTTGAAATGTCTGCCTCCCTGACTGCATCGCTCTTTCCAGGCGCCTCTATCCAGAATGACCTCAACCAGGGGGGCCCAGGGGCTCAGAGCTCCAGTCCCAAGGGGCAGACCACCTGGTCCCTGGAGGAGGAGAAGAGCAGGCTGCTGGCTGAGGCAGCGGTGGAGCTTCGGGAGGAGAACACGAGGCAGGAGCGGATCCTGGCCCTCGCCAAGCGTCTGGCTGTGCTGCGGGGACAGGACCCAGACAGAGGTAGAGGCTGGGGAGCTGCCACTCACTCATGTCCACTGGGTGGGCCCCCCACTCCCACCCACAAGCTGTGCTCTGCACAGTGGGAGTACTCCCTGCCAGGCTGGATCAGGGGCTGGGTCCCTGTGCCTAAGGGTATGTTGAGCTGTGCCCAGAGCCACAAGGAAGGCGCTGGGCAAAGCAGTGGATGAGGAATAAGTGGCAGCCATCAGCGGGCAGGGGACTGTCGGTCCCTTCAGATGCAGAGCCTTTTGTTCATGCTTCCCTCCCCTGCAGGGTAGGGCAGGGTCTGATCAGAGTGGCTGCAGAGACTGCTCACCTCTGGAATAAGTGCCACTGAAAACCAAACCAGCTCGGGGGCAGGAGTACAGCCACTCAGGTGAACTCTCAACCTCACTTCTCCCTCCCTGCTCTTGTCTCTCCCTCAAGTGACCCTCGAGGACTATCACCTCCCAGACAGTGATGATGAAGAGGATGAGGAGACAGCTATCCAGAGAGTCCTACGGCAGGTCGGCCCTGCCTTACCTACCTGGCCACCCCTTGTCCTGTCCTTGCCACACTGTCCCACCGCCCACCTGCCCCATTGACTCTGCCTCCACTCTGGGGCTGGATGGCCAGTCACTCTGCAGCTCCTGATCTAGCTGGGACCCCAATGACCCAGACCTGCCCCTGGCCCATTGAGATGGGGTATCAGCAGCCACAGACAATAGATAAAGGAAGATGGGTTCAGCACTGAGGCCACAGAACACAGATATGCTGTGTTTTGGAGGGATGCCTGGAGCAGGGAGCTGTACTCTTCACTCTGTCCGCAGCTCACCGAAGAAGCTGCCCTGGATGAAGCAAGTGGTTTTAACATCCCTGTGGAGCCAACTCTTCAACCCAGGGCCCAGTCCTGCAGGGCAGAACCTAAGGTGAGAAAAGTCCTAGACACAGACCCCCTAGGCCATCACCACCTGCCAGACTGTTCCTGTAGCCACCCTTCCAGACCCCATCAGGTACCTTACATCCCCCATTCCTCTCCAGTCCCCAAAGGCCCAGGCCACGGCCCCCAGGCCTGAGGCTGAGGAAGAGGAGCTCCCCTGGTGCTGCATCTGCAATGAGGATGCCACACTGCGCTGCATGGGCTGCTATGGAGACCTCTACTGTGTCCGCTGCTTCCGGTGGGTGCAGATGGAATGTTCCTTGGGGCTGGGAGAGTTCCAGAACTGCCTATGATCCCTGACCTGTAACTCTGCTCCACAGGGAAGGCCATGATGCCTTTGAACTTAAAGAGCACCAGACATCTGCCTACCACCCCCTGCATAAAGGCCAAGAGCACTGAGGGAGCCCTAGTCCTCCCAGGAAGGCCATTCTACAGGCTGGGCACCACCAGGGCATCTGATGGGAGAGCCTGTCAGGCTCGACTGCTTATGGGTGCACCCTTTCCTGAGCATCTGTGTCCCTGGAAGGAGGAAGGACTCTCCACTCAAGGTGATGATTGGAGGAGCCAGAGAGAAAGCAGAAGTTGGGAGCCTTCCAGCATTGACTGGGAGTGAGAGGCATGATGGGGAAAGAGCAGACTGAATCTAAGGAGGAGCCTTGAAACTTGTTCAAGGGCCCAGGGCCCTCCACTGGTACATAGAGGATCTAATAAAGTATGTTCATTCCTTGGACCCAGCATCTTTTATCTCTAGAACATGATGGGCCCTGAGACGGGCCCCTTAGAGAGGTGGCAGAGCAGAGTAGGCTGTAAGTCCAGTCTTGTGGAGTGAGGGAAAAGGCTGAGCCATCCTGCAAGCTTCTCCAGGCAGGAACAGTCCCACCCATCCTGGTGGCCTCATATGTAGCAGGTATGAATATTTGTTCAACTGAACTGAACTGTGCATCCTGCTCTGGGCAGCCCAGCTTAGCCCCCAGGCCCACCATCTTGGATTTCTCAGCCTCTCTAGCACTCAGATACTGCATGCACAAACAGTTAAGTGCATAGCCTGCTTTCTGCCTTACTCCCAAAGGACACCATCTCCCATCCTGTCCCAACCTGCCTGCCATTCAGACCCAGTATCTGTTTCCACTAGCTCCCTCCTGACCTGACTCCTGGCGTTTCAGCCTATACTGTTTACAGTCCTCCATTCAGCCCCTGCTTCTTCTCTTTCTGTCTCTGGCTTGGAGAGGGTCCTCAGCCTGAATCAATTAAGGGAGGAGAGTTTAGCTTTCCCTGAAGCCCCCAGACCCAGCCAGTTCCCTCCCCTATAGGATTCAGAACTAGTCTTTGCTCCTTGGGCTTCTATTGTTGGTAAAGCCAGAATGCCATGTGTTTTAGCCCAGATGCCCTCTGCTTGGCCTCTGGGCCTTGCTTCTGACTACTCTGAAGCAGAACTATGACATTCATCTTTGAATTCTCAAGGCCTATGTGGATGGGCAGATGGATGGGTGGATGGATGGATAAGGTGTATGGATAGAGCCTAATGACTCAGGATGCTGGCCTTCTGGTATAACACTTCACCCTCTTCCTCCCCCATCCCTCAGCACAGATATGCTCCACACTCCATTCAGCTGGGGCTCCTGAAGGTTTTATCTACTTGGCTGCCAAGGAAAGCACTGGGCAACAGCCATGACTGGCTTCCAGAAAGCCCAGCCGACAGGAACTAGCTGTGACTGCACATACACAGGGGTGTCCAAATGTCCCTCTTCATTCTCCATATTCCTTGTCAGTGTCCCAAGGAGCTGTTTTCCTCTCAGCCCAGGATCCAGAGGTTCAGGGCCAACCTGGCAGTACTGAGGCTGATGAAGGTGGCTTATTTCTGAGGCCGACTGAGTCTCCGAAGTTTCTTGAGTTGACTGAGCAGCTCAGAGATAAAAGGCTGAGAAAGAAATAGGGATGAGATCAAGGCATGAGGTCACACCCACCCACCACACTGCCCTCCTTAACCTCCACCTGACCTCATCTCCTCAGAGTCAGGGAAGGGGAGAAGGACCCAGGGCCAAACTTTCCTCTTCATTAACTGCTGCCCCACTGGGCCTTCTCTTACTCGAAGACTAGCAGAGCATCCCTTACCTCTGTGGGGCGGGGGCAGTTTTGGAGAATTGCCTGGTGGAAGAGAGCAGAGAGTGGGTCCCTGAGCAACAGCAATTCTCCCAAGCCCCCACTCAGTCTCCCAGGAATACTCCCGTCTGAATTGATTCTCCCCCACTGTGGTTGGGGAGGCAGAGACTGGGTTCTTGGGTTCCCTTTGGTCCAAGCCCACCTTCCATCCCCCAACTCCTGGGCCTGGGGCCTGGTCCCCCCATTCTACCTCCAGCTGAGTCTTCTGCTCCTCTGTGGATAGTTCCATGAGAGCCTCCAGGTCAATCTCAGGCTCAGAAGTCTCAGAAGGAGTTGGGTGATCCTGTTTGGGAATCACATGGGACTCAGAGGAGGCTGGCCAACTGGTACCTGAGTGAAAGTTACTGGCAGGGGTTGACCCATCTTCCACTTTATTTCCCATGTTCAGTTTCTCTCCTCACCTTACTCAAACCATTCATTCATCCTTCCATTCAACAGTGACTGAATACCTACTATGTCCTACCTGAAACAGTGTTAGGTTTCTTTACAAAGAGGGTCTAATTGTAAGAGTTATACACATTGTTAGTAGGGATGTAAAATGGTGGAGCTGCTTTGAAAACAATTTAAGTGTTCCTTAAAATGTTAAACAGAGTTACGGGGAGGTGGGTGTAGCTCAGTGGTAGAGTGCATGCTTACCATGCACGAGGTCCTGGGTTCAATCCTCAGTACCTCCATTGAAAAAAAAAGTTAAACATAGAATTATTATCTTACCCAATAATTTCACTCCTAGGTCTATTCCCAAGAGAACTGAAAACATATGTTCACATAAAAATTTTCATATGAATGTTCATAGCAGCATTATTTGTATTCAAATGTCCATCAACTTATGAATGGATAAAGAAAATACGATGTAGCCATACAATAATTTTCAGCAATAAAAAGGAACAAAGTACTTGGGGGGAGGGTATAGCTCAAGTGGTAGAGCGCATGGTTAGCATGCATCAGGTCCTGGGTTCAATCCCTCATACTTCCTCCAAAAATAAATAAACCTAATTATCTCCCTCCACCGAAAAACAAACAAACAAACAAAAAAGGAACAAAGTACTGATACTTGCTACAACATGGATGACCCTTTGAAACATGTTAGTGAAAGAAGCCAGTTACAAAAGGCCACATATGATATGATTCAATTTGTATGAAATGTCCAGCATTGGTACATCTATAGAGACACACAGTAGATCAGTGGTTGCCTAAGGCTGGGAGTGGTGGTGGTACAGAATGGGGTGCGACTGCTTATGGATATAGGGTTTCTTTTATGGGTGATAAAATGTTCTAAAATTAGACTGTGCTGATGGTTGTACAACCCTGTGAAGATACTTAAAACCATTGAATTTTACACTTTAAGTGTTAATTATATGGTATGTGAATCATATCTCAATAAATCTGTCTTTAAAGTTAATATAGTCATTGAAAAGATTTAAGCAACACAGAGTTTACAAAATTAAAAATGAAAGAAGCCAAAGAGAATGAGAAGCCAGTCACAGACTGGGAGAAAATATTTGTAAAAGATATAGCTGATAAAGAACTGTTAGCTAAAATATAATAAACAAACAAACAAATAAATAAATAAAACAAAGAACCCTTGTAGCCAACGATAAGAAATGAACAACTCACTGGAGGAATAACTCTCCCAGGCTTCAGACAGTCATCAAGACAGCATGGTATTGGTACAAAAACAGACATATAGACCAATGGAACAGAATAGGGAGACCAGAAATGAACCCACAAACTTCTGATCAACAAATCTTCGACAAAGGAGGCAAAAATACACAATGGAATAAAGACAGTCTCTTCAGCAAATGGTGTTAGGAAAACTGGACAGCAGCATGTAAAGCAATGAAGCTAGAACATTCCCTTACACCATACACAAAAATCAACTCAAAATGGATCAAAGACTTAAACACAAGACAAGATACAATAAACCTCCTAGAAGAAAACATAGGCAAAACATTATCTCACATACTTCTCAGCAATCTTCTCAGCAGTCTACCCAAGCAATAGAAATAAAAGCAAGAATAAACAAATGGGACCTAATCAAACTTACAAGCTTCTGCACAGCAAAGGAAACCATAAGTAAATCAAAACGACAACCTACAGAATGGAAGAAAATTTTTGCAAACAATGAAACCAACAAAGGCTTGATATATATAAGCAGCTCATACGACATAATAAGAAAAAAACAAACAACCCAATCCAAAAATGGGCAGAAGACCTAAACAAGCAATTCTTCAAGGAAGAAATACAAATGATCAATAGGCATATGAAAAAATGCTCAATATCACTAATTACCAGAGAAATGCAAATCAAAACTACAATGAGGTATCACCTCACACCAGCCAGAATGGATGTCATTCAAAAGTCCACAAATGACAAATGCTAGAGAGGCTGTGGAGAAAGGGGAACCCTCCTACACTGCTGGTGGGAATGCAGTTTGGTGCAGCCACTGTGGAAAACAGTATGGAGATTCCTTAAAAGACTAGGAATAGACTTACCATATGAACCAGTCATCCCACTTGTGGGCATATATCAGAAGGAACCCTACTTCAAAAAGACACCTACACCCCAATGTTCATAGCAGCACTATTTACAATAGCCAAGACATGGAAACAGCCTAAATGTCCATCAACAGATGACTGGATAAAGAAGAGGTGGTATATTTATACAATGGAATACTATTCAGCCATAAAATTGACAACATAATGCCATTTGCAGCAACATGGATGGACCTGGAGATTGTCATTCTAAGTGAAGTAAGCCAGAAAGAGAAAGAAAAATACCATGTAAGATCTCTCATATGTGGAATCTTAAAGGAAAAAAAAGAACATAAATACAAAACAGGAACAAACTCATAGGCATAGAATACAAACTTGTGGTTGCCAAGGCGGGTGGTGGGAAGGGACACACTGGGATTTCAAAGTTTGTAGATACTGACAGGCATATGCAGAATAGATAAACAAGATTATACTGTATAGCAAAGGGAAATATATACAAGATCTTGTGGTAGCTCACAGCGAAAAAAATGTGACAATGAATATATGTCTGTTCACGTATAACTGAAAAATTGTTCTCTACACTGGAATTTGACACAATATTGTAAAATGACTATAACTCAAAAAAAAAGTAAAAAAGTAAAAGAAAAAAATGAACAACTCAATTTAAAATGGGCAAAAGTCTGAATATCTGCCTCACCAAACAAGGTATGCAGATGGCAAACAGTGTATGAGAAGATACTCAACATTAAACGTCATTAAGGAATTGCAAACTGAAGCAGCAATGAGATACCATTACACACCTAATAAAATGACAAAAAAAAACACCCAACCCTAAAACATTAACAACACCAAATGCTGATGAAGGTGTGGAGCAACACGAACTCTCACTCATTGCTGGTGGGAATGCAAAATTAGTATAGCCAATTTGGAAGATGGTAGTTTCTTACAAAACCAACTATACTCTCAGCATACAATCCAGCACTTGTGTTCCTTGGTATTTACCCAAATGAGTTGAAAATATGTCTACACAAAAACCTGCATATGAATGTTTATAGCAGTTTTATTCATAATTGCCAAAGCTTTTTGGGTGCAACCAAGATGCCCTTCAGTAGGTAAATGAATGAAGAAAGAGTGGTACATCCAGACAATGGAATATTACTCAGAGATAAAATGAAAAGAGCTATCAAGTCATAAAAAGACATAGAGGAAGCTTAAATGCATATTACTAAGTGAAAGAAACCAATCTGAAAAGTCTACATACTGTATAATTCCAAGTATATGACATTCTGGAAAAAGCAAAACTGTGGAAACAATAAAAAGATCAGTGCTTGCCAGGGTTTAGGGTGGAGGGAGCAATGACTAGGTGGAACACAGAGGACTTGTAGGGCAGTGAAACTACTCTATATGATACTTTTAGGGTGGATACATGTCATTATACATTTGTCAAAACCCATAGAACCTATAACACCAAGAGTGAATCCTAATATGCAGTATTAACTTCGGGTGAATATGACGTGTCAATATAAATTCATCAGTTGTAACAAATGTACTGCTCTAGTGGAGGGTGTTGATAGTGGGAGAGGCTATGCATGTGTGGGGACAGGGAGAACATGGGAACCCTGTACTTTATGCTTAATTTTGCTATGAACGTAAAACTGCTCTAAAAAATAAAGTCTTACTAAGAAAAAAAGATGTGCACAGCAAAGGAAACCATCAACAGAATGAAAAGATAACCTACTGAACAGGATAAAATATTTGCAAGTCATAAATATGATAAGTGGTTAATATCCACAATATATAAAGAACTCAAATGACTCAAAAGCAAAAAAAAATCTGACTTTAAAAATGGGCAGAGGGGTTGGAGAGTATAGCTCAGTGGTAGAGTGTGTGTGTAGCATGCACAAGGTCCTGGGTTCCCCAGTACCTCCATTAAAATAAGTAAATAAATAAACCTAATTACCTCTCCCCCCAAAACAAAAACAAACGTAAGTAAAATAAAATATATTTTTAAAATAGGCAAAGGATCTGAATAGACATTTTTTCCCAAAGAAGACATACGGATGGCCAACAGGTATGTGAAAAGCTGCTCAAAATCATGAATTATCAGGGAACAGGGACTTTCTGAAGTGAAAGTGGCATTCTGAGGCAGAACATGACTACCAGAACAGGTTGGTGCTGTGATTCATGCTAAGGTCCACCATTGGTTTTGCATCATCAGTGCAAATGTCAACATAGTGAAAAAGGCAAATGACATCTTGTTTTATTTATGCAAATAATCATGGACCCCCTAAAAGTGTCTTGGGAACCCCCAGGGTCAGAACACACTTGAAGAACTGCTGCTTTCTCCATTTTTCTATTGGGTTGTTGAGAGGTTTTTGTTTAGTTTTGGGGGTTTTTTTATAACTGATTTAAGAAGTTTTCTTTTTTAGTTCAGTTTAGCCCTAGTATTCCACATGGGATTGAAATACCATTTGCATTTGGAGGGACGCATTGGGAAAATAAGTGTATATGTTTATATAGTCCTCACAGAGGACTGGGAGACAAATCAAGTTCCACTCAGCCAGAGTGGACAGTCATCACTGATCATGCAGGAAATTCTGTAGAGATCTCAAAAGGACCATGATTTACTAGGAGGGGACTAAGTTATTCCCTAGATTAAAGGCTACTCTAGATTCACCCCAACAGAACTTAAAAACAAGCCTTGGAAGGATCAAACTGAACCACAACAAACTAACCTGCCTTCTAGAAAAAGCCCAACATTCTAAAGGAGGAAAAAAATCCAGTTACCCAACAACATAAAATTCACAATGTCCAGCATCCTATCAAAAACCATTAGCATGCCAAGAAGCAGGGAATGTGACTGACAAGCAGGAGAAAAATCAGTTAACAGAAGCAGACCAGGTATGACAGAGATAATGGAATTAGCAAATGAGGTAAACACGAACATAAGAATGAGAGAAATTTAAGACATGAGAAAAAGCTAAATGAAGCATCTAGAGATGAAAAATACAATATTTTAAAGAAAAAATGTACTGGATGGAATTAACAGTATATTTGACACTACAGAAAAACAGATTAATTAAACTTGAAGAAATAGCAAAAGAAACGCCAAAATGAAGCACAGAGAGAAAAAACCTGGTAAAAAAAAAGAAGAGAGAGAGAGAGAGAGAACAGAACAGAGCCTCGCTGACCTGGGGGACCATATCAAGTGGTCTAACATATATGTTATTGGAATCCCAGAAGGTAGAGGGTAGGGCTGAATGATAAAAATACATTCTAATGATTAGAACACTGCCTCTTAAAGAGGATTCATCCTGCTCCTCAAATATTTTATATCAGTTATGACATTAACTATATGTGTATTGAATATAGGGGATATATTTCACTGACAGTCAGATTGCCACTGCAGTCTGGTGTTGAGAATATGGGCTCATATCATAATGCAAATATCGTTTTCCTCAAGTATTTTTGAATTCTCAGAAATTGAGCAGATATATCAAACAACTCTTACTGAGGTGAACAAGTGTGATCTCCTCGTGACTCTGTACCACATGTGCTGGTTTCCTGCTGGATGCTGCCTGATTTGACCCCTTTCTCACCTCCACTCTGTCCCCTTACTCCTGATCTGTCTGCCATGGAGACCAGCCATGGAGTAAAGCTCAGAGATGAGCTAACAAGTGTTTGTTTCACATTTTATTGACAATATAATCGTAAAGTTGTAAGTTTAATAGATTGTTTCCCGAAATATCATCGCATCAAAAGGGCTGCATCAAAATGTCAGTGTGACTAGGGGAAGATGTAATGGAAGCTAAAGGAAAGGAATGTTTCAAAACTCTGGGGTGGTCAAGAGTGTCCCCTGCTGATGTATATACTAGCTTTAGCCCCACTGGTGACTTTGCCAAGAGGTCTCAGTAGAGTGGTGGGTACAGAAGTCAGATTACAGTGGTTTGAAAGGTGATAGAAAGGGGAAAAGTAAGTAAAGGCTGTTAGTGGGGACAAATCCTTTAAGGAGCCTTGTAAAGGAGACACAAAATAGGGGATGGTAATCAAAGGGGAGCATATTGTTAAATAAGAGTCTCCTTAAAATAGGAGAAACTCGTGAGGGTTTAAATCCTTGCGTAGAAGCTAAATCCACACTCCATTTCTGGACAACAGGAGCTCCAGGGCCCAAAGTCTGTTTTGTTGAACCTAGACTTGGTTCCTCTAAAGATCCTAAAGCAGGCTGCAAACCCACTGAGAAGCAGGGCCCTCCAACAAAAGAAGGTTGGATCCCACTAAACTAAACAAAACAAAACATGATGCAATCCACTCCTGGATCTATTCCCAGTGGTGTTATCCAAGGTGGGCATGTGAGGAGGAGCCCCAGTGGGTGGAGAGGGGCTCTATGAAAGTAGAACTGAGGCTGGGTATGCCTGGAGACTGGGTTGCCTCAATCTCTGCCCAAGATGACCAGCCCCTGGGGCTTCCCCAGCCTCTTGGCTGCTTCCTGCTGAAAAAAGCAGGGATTGGGAGAGGAACTGCCACCTGGCACCTTTGGACGACTGCCATGGCAACTGCAGGCCAGGTATTTTATTCCGGTAACTGCCTGGGAGCAGTCCTCCCACATGTCCTATTTTCCATGTTATGAGCTTATTACTCTACAGCTTTTCCCCCAGCCTTGATCTTGCAAAACAAGGTTCATTGACTAGTGTCTGTCTCTGATGCCTGGAAGGATTTGCCCTGAGATGTCTGAAATATAAGACTTGTTATGCAAATGTACAACAATCTGAAATTGAAACTGACACAGAGAGGGAGGGTGCTGGCAGGAGTAAAGGGCAGTGATAGTGTCCTGCAAGGTCAGAGCAGGCAGAGGCCAAGAAAGTTTTCCCCTCCCAGCTTTAGGGCATCTCCCTCCCCTCCACAAGTGGCCCAGGATGCTGCTGGGGACACAATCAATATCTGGACCAAACCAACACATGACCCAGTGAGCCTCACAAGATGGCCTGGGCCACATGCATTACTCTTCCCCATCCACAGCTGCAGGACCACTGACACAGCCCTTACCTGGGAAAATTACAAGCCCTTGCTGCCCAAAAAAGAAAAGACAGGACCTGAGTAAGGAAGGAGAGAAACAAGGACCATGGTATGTGGACAAGGAGGACTCTGGTGCAGTGGTTCCAGCCAGCCACAGACTAGAATCACCTGTGGAGCTGATAAAAAAGACCAGTGCCTGGGCCCCACCATAGTAGTTTGAAATTCACTTGCAGTGCAGCTCAGGCATCGGGGTATTTCCTGAAGCACTTTAGGTGTGGAGAACCACCAGCAGCCCCCAAAAGCGCTCAGACGCTATAGGCAGAGCCCTGGGTGCAGCTCCTGGTCCTGCAGCTTCCTGGTGCTATGACCTTGGGCTAATTGCTCAACATTTCTAAGCCTCCATTTCCTCCACAGTGAAACAGTGAAACAAACCTACCTAACGGACTTGGGGGGAGGGCTGAGTAAAAAGATGCAAGTCAGGTGCTGGGCACTCTGCCTAGCACATAGTTAAGTGCTCAAAAAATGTTACTCTTGTTGGAGTAACAATTGTTACTACACTGGGATCCTGATTTGCAGGTGTCTACATTAAAAAAAAAAAGTGCCACTTTCCCAAGATAGGGTTGAGGGGAGTCAGCCAGAGCCAGGGCCCAGGCGTTAGCGCTCACTGTTGGTTCCTCTGAGATCTAGTCTAGCATTATCCATTCTGAGATGGTGAGATGTTCTACGTCTGTGCTGAGAGCTTAGTAGCCATGAGCCACATGGGGCTACTGGCACTTGAAAATGTGGCTAGTGTGACTGAGGAACTAAAAATTAAATTTTAAAATTATTTAAAAAATTAAAAATTAATTTTCGTTAATGTAAAGTTGAATAGCTACACACGGCTGATAGCTACAGGAATGAATGATGTCGCTCTAGACATGTATGTGTGTTGGGGGTGAAGAAAATAAAGACAGAAAAAAATAGCTCTTCTGCTGTCTCCTCTGAGCCTCAAAAAGTCCTACAAAGGAGATGTGACAGGCACCCATAGCCACATTTTTTAGATTATGAAACTAAGTTTGAGGGATGTTAAGAGACCTGCCCCCAGATTATGAAAAGAGTGAGACACAGAGCCAAGACCAGAGGGAGGCAGATTTCAGGACTGCAAACCCACGCTTCACCTATGGGGAGAAGCTTTCTCTCCATGGGAGCATCTCACATCCGCCCTCCAGCTCCTCCTGAGGTCTCAGAGCAGTTTCTCCCCTGGCTCCCTGGCTGGGTCCTAGGCCCACCATGTTCCTCCACCCTCCTTGGGCTACCCACCTGGAAGAGCTCCTGAACCTGGGCGTCTACCCACTGCTCCATCTCCAGCCAGCGCTGGAGCTGCCCCCGGTCATACTTCACCGTCAGTCGGCTGGATCTTCGGGACCTGGAGGCTTTGGCGGGGTCGGAGTGGGACTTTGACTCTGAGTCTGAGGATGATATCCTTCTCCTCCAGGAAGCCCACTGGACATTTTTACTTGGATTCTCCTTGTCCGGGTTGGGAGACGTGCAGGAAGCAGGGCTTGAAGACAGCATGGAAGGATTGGTCTGGGCAAGGAGCTGGGAGAAACTGGCAGTCAGAGCAAGGGTGCCAGGGAATGAGGAGACCGAGAACAGAGGGAAAGGCCAGCAGGGAAGAAAGGTGGGAGGGATGGAGGGAGGGCCAAGGCTCCTGGAAGGTGGGGGTCAAAGATCAACAGGCCTTTCTTTGTCTGGTGCTGGAAATGCCAGTCTCCTGGCTTCTTGCCGCCAGTGAGTGGCACTCCCGAGCAGTGCCCCAGCCTTTCTTTCTGCAGCTGCTGGGGCCCAAAGTGATACAAACTGCAAAGGAGCAAAGGTCAAGAGGGTACCATGCCTGGGAGGAGGAAGAGGCCCTCAGGTCGTGAGGGGTGTGAGGCTCTGATCTGTGCTCTAGGGCCAGCTCTGGAGCAGGACCTGAGTCATACTCACCTGAGAGCCCTCAGCATCCCACTTTCCTGGGACTAGATCCACCTTGGCCCCTAGAAGTTGCGTTCACACGGATTCTGTAGGAGGAGGGTCCCCGCCTGGCAAAGGCTCCTGCTCAGAGTATGGCACTGCTGAGGGCAGAGTCTCACCAGGGATAATTAGGTGGTTATCTCTGACCCCTGTGGGGTCAGTACCCTTTTGTGTATGAATGTTAGCTGCCTTTAACAACGTGATTTGTAGAGGAGGGCATATCCCGGCGGTAAAGTGCGCAAGCATGAGGTGCGGGTTCAATCCCCAGTACCTCCATTAAAAATAATAATAAGATAAAATGAAACCTAATTACCTTTCCTACAGAAAAAAAAAAAAAAGGAACGTGATGGAAGTGGCACTCCCCTGTTGGCCCAGCCCTGTGTGTCTGCAAAGGCACATTTATTAAGCTTGTCTCCCGAGTCCCTTCCCCAGAGGCAACTGCTTAGGAAGCCATATTTATCATCACATGACCCTCCCCTGACTCACGTCCTTCCTGACACAGAACAACCCTGCAGGCCTAACCATTTACCCAGGTATCAAGACCTAATACTTCTAGACATACTTGCATTCTCAAGGAAGGGTGTTTGTTTGCTTGTTTAGTCTTTTGTAACAAAAATTTCGAAAACTTTTAGAAGTTACACAACAGAATAATACTGTCCTTTAAAAAAAAATTAAAAAGAACAATTCAGAAGGGCAAATAGAAAATGAAAGTTTCTCCTTACCTAGCTCCACTCTCCAGAGGCAACTCACCAACAGCTTCTGTTTTTAGTTCTCCTGTGACCACCCTTATCCCTTGGTGTAATATCATACATTTGTCCATTTGTCTTTTCAACATGAAAGATGAAAAATTAATTCCCTCACTCACACTCCCTCATCCCCTTTACTTCCCACATTCCAATTTTTGTTTAGGTATTTCTTTTTAGGTCTTGCAGTGCTTGCCTTTATGATGCTGAGTTTCTGTTCCCAGTGTATCAACTTCAGCCATCACAAGCTGACTCCTAAAAGAGTTTTAGACAGAGGCCAATGGATGAATCTTTAATGATGAAATTTTAGGCCCTAAGTTAACAGGGTAGGGGAGGTGTTTGAGGGCTGGAGGCCAGGATGGTAGCCTGGGAAAGCCCAGGCTTTGGAGGAAGACTGACAGATCCCAGTTCAAACTCAGCTTTGCCCTGCATTGGTTTTATAACCTTCAAGTTTCATAACCTCTTTGAGTCTGTTTTCTCATCTGCTGAATGGGTTTGGGAGAGGATTAAATGACAAGATGTATGTAAACATTTAGCATGATGTCCAAAACAGAGTCCCTTCTCAGGAGACATCCCTTTCCTTCCTTTCTTTGCCTTCTCATCTTCCCTGCCTTCTTGGTGAGGTTCAGTCTCAAAGGCTGACCCTGGGATTTCTCTGCAGTGGCTTCCTTCCTGGCCCTCTTTGGAAGAGGGTGGATATGAGAAGAGGGTAGGGAAGCCTCTAAAATGCAGCCTTAGACTCAGCTGTTACTTTGATGACCTGGTATACTCTATGATAGGCAGTAATTATTAAGGTGTTTCCTTCCTTCTTCTGTTTCTGTCTTCCGAAGGGATTGGGAGCCCAGGCAAAGATCAGAAGAGTCCGTGGGTTTTGTTCATTAATTAATTCATTCATATAACAAAGATTTTGTCAGCTTCTCTGGAAGGCCAAGGATTATGCTCAATACTGGGAATTGGTGATCCAAAAAAGACACAGTCCCTGGCTTCATGGAACTTATAGTCTCGTGTAAAAATAAACATTAATCAACTAATCAAATAAATGAAAAACAGCCACACATTTAATGATCTGGAGAAAAGGTAATAGGTGCTATAGGATGTCTAGTGAGGATGTGACCTACCAAGTTGTAGTATTTGAACTGAGTTCTGAAGGATGAGTAGGCGTTAACTAGGCACAGGGACCAGAAGGAATAGATCTGGCAGATCAGGCAAAGTCCCTGTGGCAGGAGAGAGAGGGTGAGAACAAAAGACTAGAAAAAATCAGTGGGGCTGGAACAAAGAGATGAGGAAGGCAAAAGTGAGTTATGAGGCAGAAAGGGTGGAGGTATCTAGACAGGGCCCTGTGAACCATGTTCAAGAGTTTTGTCTCTATCCAAGAGCACTGGAAGTCACTGCAAAATCTTAAGCAAGGATGGCTGGGAAGGCTGACATGTTCAGATTTAAATTTCCAAAAGATAACCTTGGCTGTTGAATAGAGAGAGGATCAGAGGGTGCAGAAGGCCTGAAAGTCAGTTGGGAGGCCATTGCTGTAGAGCTTGACTGGGGGCTGTAGTGTTGTTGATAGTGAGAAGTGGACAGATTGAAGGGCTATTTAGGGGGTAATATCCAACAGAACTTGGTGATGGATTGCAATATGCAAGCTTCATGAATGCCTACACTGGAACACAGATGGGTTCATGCATGGGGCCTCTCTGAGCCTGTTTCCTCATCTGTAGACTGGGAGTTGGTGAGAGTCTACATGAGCACACAACATGGCCCCAGTGAAGCTTGCTGGCACACAAATGAGTTATGCCCATTAGTTCTAGAGTAAGGCTCCTTATTTACATTCTTCCATCTCAGCATTGACCTGCGCATGTCACCATTCACCAATAAGTTTGCCCAAGATAAGGGAACTCAAGGTTCAAGATAAAATAAGAAGAAAACCCACCAGCACCACAGGGTCATAGCAGGATGGGGAAATAAAGAGTATGCAGGCCTGGCCAGAGGTGAGGGTGTCTGCCCTGCTCTCCTGGCCTGGCCTGGCCTGGCTCCAGTGGTGGGATAAAATAAGCAGTAGGCAGACCCCATCAGAACTAGGCTGTTCTCAAATGCTTTTTTTCTTTTAAATTTTTTTATAATACAAGAAAAACATGTTCATTTTATTTTATTTTTTTAGCTGGAATCCTTCCCAGTTAAAATATGTTCATTTTAGAAACATTTCTAAATTTTCTAAAACGTTTCCCCATAATCCTGCCACACAAAAACCACCACTGCTAGCATTCTGGCAAGTTTCTTTCTAGTCTTTTTGCTATGCATATATATTTAATATAGTTAAGAAAATGCTATGTATAATATATAATCATTTAGAAAATTTTAAAAATATTATTCAAGAGATGTTTTAAAAAAGACATGTTCAATGTGTAAAATTCTAAAATACACATAAATCTAAATGATCTGTTTGGTGTTTTTTGTTTTTAAATTGAAGTGTAGTTAGTTACAGTGTGTCAATTTCTGGTGTACAGTATAATATTTCAGTCATACATATACATACATATATTTGTTTTCATATTTTTTCATTATAGGTTATTACAAGATATTGAATACAGTTCCCTGTGCTATACAGAAGAAATTTGATTTTTATCTACTTTATATATTTGCACATCTCGAACTCCTAATTTATTCCTTCCCACCCCCTTTCCTCCCCCCGGTAACCGTTAAGTTTGTTTACTATGTCTGTGAGTCTATTTCTGTTTTGTAGGTAAGTTCACTAGTGTCTTCTTTTTTCTTTTATTATTATTTTTTAGATTCTACATATGAGTGATATTATATGGTATTTTTCTTTCTCTTTCTGGCTTACTTCACTTAGAATGACAATCTCCAGGTCCATCCATGTTGCTGCAAATGGCATTATTTTATTCTTTTCTATGGCTGAGTAAGTATTCCATTATAGATATATATACCACATCTTCTTTATTCAGTCATCTGTGGGTGGAGATTTAGGTTGTTTCCATGTCTTGGCTATTGTATATAGTGGTGCTATGAACATTGGGGTGCATGTACCTTTTTGAATTAGAGTTTCTTCGGGATATATGCCCAGAAGTGAGATTATTGCATCATATGGTATGTCTATTCCTAGTCTTTTAAGGAAACTCCATACTGTTTTCCATAATGGCTGCACCAAACTATATTCCCACCAACAGTGTAGGAGGGTTCCCTTTTCTTCAAAAGGGTGTGACGCATTTATCGTTTGTGGATTTTTAAATGATGGCCATTCTAGCTGGTATGAGGTGATACCTCATTGTAGTTTTGATTTGTATTCAAATTGCTAATTATTCTCTGATAATTAGCAATATGGAGCATTTTTTCATGTGCCTATTGGCCATTTGTATGTCTTCATTGGATAAATGCTTGTTTAGGTCTCTTGGTTTGTTCTGAGTATATGGACCAATGTGTGGGAAGTACTTAGGAACAGGGTTTGGACATTGTTAGGGCTTGATAGATATAGGTTTTTGTAATGGTATATATGATGGAAGTAATGATAAATTGGTGGTAATAGTACCATAAGGTAATAGTCTCCTGTGTTGGGATTCTTGTGTGTATAAGGTATTGAAGGAGACAGGAATCAAATTTCAACAAAATCCTTTCTTTTCAGTAACTGCACAATCCTAGGCTTCATTCCCAGTGTACCATCTTTGCTCTGTGTTCCCCACTGTGTCTGGGACAGTGTAAAACCCCAGAAAATCCAGAGAAGGGGAGACAAACTCCAAATTCCCACCCCAACACCCACAATATGGGCAGTTAGGGAATGTTACAGTTCAGCCAGGGAAAATGATTGCAGGTTTGGCTACAATGACCTAGTGGGCAAAGCTGCCCTAGAAGAGAAAGTAGGAAGACTGTTCCCATTGGGTGGGGGGTTAAGTCATCATGGAAAGGCTTTGAGTCTCTTTTTGGGGAGAGCATTAACAGGATTAATCTTGCTCTGTAAAGAATGATTTTTAAGAGAATGGTATTTTTAAGAATGGTCTTTTCTTCACTCAGGAAAAGCAAGGAGTCCGTGGTTGTGTGAAATTTATTAACTCAGCTACTTTGATGAGCAGGAACCCCTAGCTTCCAAAGATGGCATTTCACTGGAAGAGAGCAGCCAGCTCCTGACCAGGAGCATCCCCTTGGTGAGAGAGGAGAGGGATTCTGAGCTCCAGGGAAGGAAGTAGCCGACCAATGAGGCTAACACAGACTCAGCTCCAACAGAGACCCGAACGTAAATGTTAGTACAAGATGAGAAAGGGCCTCCAACAAAAAGGAACCACTGCGGGTCAAGCAGGGAAGCCTGGCCCTGGGAATTCGCCTCAGTTTCTCACTCTGGCAGAAAGGAGGGCTTCCGGAGCTGGCAAAGGCGGCGGCGGCGACGGGCATCCCGGATTCCGGTTACCAAAGGGGCATTCACACAGCTTCTGGGATCTCTTCCCGCCACGGGATGGAAATGAGTCCCCGAGGGCTGACGATGACAGCGAGATCATTTGCGTCGGGCTTTTCCCCATTTCTCCTCCTGCAGCAGCTTCACTTGCGCCTCAGGCACGGGTCTGAGAAAGCTGGTTCCGACTGGAAAAGAAAGCCGGAGGCAGCCGCTCCAGAGCACCCGACCCTTGGGTGACCGATTCGCTAGAGCGTCCTGTCCTGGCCTCTGGGGATAGGGGTGCTCTTCTGGGGCGCGGGATCCCCCCTACCTGAGGCTGAACTTGGTGCAGCCGGCGTAGAGCAGCCTTGAGGGGCGCGCCCCGAGGCAGGGCACCAGGGCCTATGAGCCCCTTTGGGAACCAGGGCCGGCTGGGGGAAGGGGTCGGGGATCGCGGGGACCGGCGGCAGGCGGTCCGGA